AGATCGAGAGGAGGAATTCTGGGAGTTGAAGTCCACAAGTTGTAACTTGACAGCTTTAAGACTTGTGTGCTTCAAATGCCAGAGTTTCTGAGCCAACATTTTGGTTGCTAAGCAAGAGCATTGTTAAGTGAGTTTCCCCACATTTTACAAGTTGGCCACGCTCACCCAGTCACATGGCTGGCAAGCCACACCCACCCGGTCACATGGCCGGCAAGCCCCTCCCACAAAGCAGGCCACACCTACAGAAGGGGTTCTAAAAAAATTTGAAACCCACCACTAGTCACCACACTTTAAAAATATGTTGGGACTCTAGAAAGAGTGCAGACAAGAGCAGCCAAGATTATTAGGGACTAAAGCGTATAATGAACGGATACAGGAGCTGGGTATTGGCCAGTGTGGTGAAGAGAAGCACCAGAGGAGACATGATAGCAGTCTTCCAATATTTGAGGGGCTGCAACAAGGAGGAGGGGGCAGCCTATTTTCCAAAGCAGCTGAAGGCCAGACAAGGAACAATGGATGGAAACTGAACAAGGGGACACTCACTAGCAAAAGTGCACAAAGTACATTATGGCTTCGTGTGCTCTACATTGGAAATACACCATTGCTCCATTAGGAATAAAGTTGCAAACAGAAACTGCAATTTATATACAGGTAGTCCTCAACTTACGATCACAACTGGGACCGGAATTTTTTGTTGCTAGAAGCACTTTGTTGAGTTGACTCTGATTTTACCCCCTTTTTACTATGGTCATTAAGAGAATCACTAGTCATTAAGTGAATACGGCTTCCACCCATTGACACTGCTTTTCAGAAGCCAACTGAGCTCAGAAATAGCAACACTTGGACACTGTAACCACCTGTGCTGGTTGCCAAGTTCCCAAATTTTGATCACGTGATCGTGGGGATGCTGTGGAGTGGTGCAGTGACCTAGAGGTGGAGCTCTCGCCTCACAATCAGGAGGCAATGAGTTCGATCCTAGGTAGAGGCAGGTATTTCTTTCTTTGGGCACAATGAGAATATATCTGCTGAACAAAACTCCGCACTGGCGACAGGTAGAGCATCCGGCCAGTAAAGGCTTTGCTAGCTCCATTCAGTTGCCCAAACTCCACCTCGCAAGGCATTATAGGGTCATTAAAAAGATGATGATGATTGTGGGATGCTGTGATGGTTTTAAGTGCGAGTACCAGTTGTAAGCCCCACTGTAACTTCCAACAGTGGCTAAATAAACAGTGAATAAGTCAAGGACTACCAGTAATTAACAAGGTTAACAACCTTTTCTGGTTACTTGTTAACTTACCAGCAAGGTGAAGGTGTTTATGTGCGTTTGTATATTGTGCAAATCTTCAGCAGGGACTCCTCTAAAGTGCTTCAGCACCGAACTCCCAACTTCCTTGATAGCCATCGCAAAGGGGACCATCCATTTCACACACTCCTCAATGTCGCTCAGTTCGTATCCTGGAAAAACAACAAACGCAGAAACAAAATTCCTGCATCATCTATGCTGCTTTTACTTCCCAGTCTTGAATGTACATTATCTTAACACAACGCCTTACCCGAAACCCGCTGCATCAACTCGCGAGAGGAGAAATGATACAACGCCGAAGCAGCCAGGACACCATACGTGTACTCCAAACAGCCCACATCAAGGACACACAGGTCCAAGAGCTGAGAAAAGAAGAACGTCAGAGATCAGAAGACCTGTTGTGGCCCGCCAGCAGAGCTGGCAGCAGATTCGGACACTAAGGAGGTCGGGGAGGAACATGGGCCAGTCCTGGAGTCTGGGGAAGGCTCTGATGAGGGCTCTGTGTTGGAGGCAGAGAGAGGGCCAGGGTCGTATGCCAGTTATCAGCTGCCTTCAGAGTCAGACATCAGTGAGGCAGATGAACAGCTGGAGCCTGTTCCCAGCGTGCACATGCGTAGAGCTGCCAGACGAAAGGAACAGCTAAGGAACAGGGGTTGACTTAGGAGTAAGACCACAGGGGGACAATGAATGGCCCCTCCCAGAGGAAATAAAAGAGGAGCGAAAGGGAAGTGGAGTTTGCAGGAGACCATTAGTTTGCTTAATTGGTTCGTGACTCCCTGAGACTCCTTGCCAAGTTTTGCAGATATAATCCTGGCAGCTTTCCAAGCCAGATAAGGTCTGTGACTGTAAATCCTCCCTGGAAAGACTTTGCTGGATGTGAATGAGCGGAATTCACAGTCAATTAATAAAAGAGGAGTCTGCTTCATGCTCTTGGGAAGCCTCGGTCAGAACAAGACCATTTTCAGGCTGAGAGAGGAAAACGTTTTGCAGTAGGTTCTATTGTTACCTCTGCAACTTGCACGAATATCTCTTGAGAATACTGGGGCAGCAGCATCTCACAAATCTCATTTAGATATGCGACCTGCATGTATATATTTAGCCAGGACACGGTCGTCAGGGGACTCAGGTTCCAATTCAGCGCCTGGAGGAAGGAAAGAAAAGATATGCTGGGAAAAGGTGGACATACTCTTTATCAGGAGTGTCAAACTCGATTTCATTGAGGGCTGCATCAGGATTGTGTTTGAACTAGGGGGGCTGGGGTGGGCGTGGCCACCTTGGTGTCACTTGTGTTGGGGGGCCTGTAGTGGCCGGAGTGCTCTGCCAGAGAAAATAGGCTCCCAAGCTCCATTTTCTGCAAGAACGGCCTCCTCAGTGGTGGGTTTCAATTTTTTTTAGAACCTCTTCTGTAGGTGTGGCCTGCTTTGTGGGAGTGGCTTGCTGGCCATGTGACTGGGTGGGAATGGCTTGCCAGCCATGTGACTGGGTGGGCATGGCCAACTTGTAAAATGTGAGAAAACTCACTTAACAATGCTCTTGCTTAGCAACCAAAATGTTGGCTCAGAAACTCTGCTATTGAAGAATACAAGTCTTAAAGCTGTCAAGTTACAAGACCCTTGCACCCCTAACCCTTTAGGAAAAAACTCCCA